GCATTCACCAATTTTTTTTCAAGAGAATGTTTTAAGTAATGTGGTAAGTAATGATTTAAAAAAAACTTTTTGGTTTTAATTCATTTTAAAATAATTTTTTGTTCCTTTCTCAGTACTAAAAAAAAAAGTGTTACTTACCATGCTTCATCCCAGCATTAGATTTAGTGGTTCCAGGGTGGAAGGTAATTCCACCGTATGTAGGAAATCCGTAGTGGGGGAAGCCATATCCTGCAATGGCAAATACAGTAAATGAAACCTTACAATGGGTTTTTTTTTTAAAGACTCAGCAAACCTCCTTTCGGTGTCCCTCCTTCAGGTGAGCACACACTCTGGTGTGCCCCACACGGTGCTTCTGTTGAGAGTTTGTAAGACACATTATTGGGGCTCACGGGTTGGTCAGCATTCCACTCTGGTAAGGTTTACATACTAGGCTCGGGTAATAATTTAAAATTCCTTTTGAAATGATCATAAGTAACATGTTTTGGAGCTATTTTAAAGCCACTACCAAAAAACCTTTTTTTTTTTTCCCTTTTTTTAAATTGAGGTAAAAGGTAGAGCTCAGACAGAGCCCAGGCTTGGGGCAGCGTGGAGGAGTTCCTGCTGGAGAAGGTCTCCTGCTCCCATGTGAGGGGAGAGGCTAACGGTGAGGGGTCACCACCCAGACTCAGACTTGCTGACACGGATGACAGTAAAATAACCTCTGGAGAGAAATACTGAACTGCACAAAATACAGAAATACATACTCACTTCCCAACATAAACACGCCCCCACTGTTCATTTTCATGCACTTCTGGTGGGAGCATAACCTGGTAAAACTCTTTGGGGAAGAAGTGGGTATTAGTTGCCATACTCTGACACAGTAGTTTCACTTCAGAGAATCTAATTTACAAAAATAATTAGTAAAAAAAGAAAGGCAATGCAGATAAGGGAGTTTACTACAACATTTTATATAAGAAAAAGGAGACAACATTCAAGTAAGTTATACTATGGTTTGTTCACCTAATGAAATATTACGAGTCATTAAAATGATGCTTGTATAAAGTTTATATTACCATGGGGAACTGGTGATGTTAACCCGTTAGGAAAAAGCAGCCTATGTGACTCTCTGCACAATCAAGATGTGATGATAATACACAGGGCGCACCAGTACGCGGGTTAAAATACTACGCACAGTGATATGGCTATGCTTGGGAAAACGGATCTGTATTATAATGTATGTACAGACAAAAAATAGCAGTTAACCTCTGACGGCAGTATTTTATGTATTCTCAACTTTTCTACAACATAGCGTAAATATAATATGAAATCTTTTCAGTGCTGCCAAGGAATACCAAGACAGCTGTACCAAAAAAAAGAAATAAAAGGGCAGGGAAGGGGGAATATACCAAAATGTTAACAGAAGTATTCTTTGGATAACTGGCTTTGGATAACTTTTTTTTCTTCTTACAGTTTTTGGTATTATCTATCCATGTATAATAACATGAACATGCATTTCTATGAAAAATTATATATTTGCCGGGAAATTCTAGTTAATGTAATCATGTTCAATAATGTCACAATCACTCAACTCACAGAGAAATCTAGGAAAAGAAACGTCTACCCTGACAGATGTGAAAAAGCTGTAGTAAGAACAGACTTGATTCGCACCTGGGCCCGCACTTCCAGCACCCCCTCCTCCACCGCCGCTGCCAAACATGCCTCCGCCTCCAGCTCCAGCACCACTGCCGCCGCCGAAACTGTCCGAGAAATTGGGCATGAGCTTCTGCCGTTTCCTCTGCACTTCCTCTTTATCTGGGTTTAAAGGAAGAGAAACCAGAGGAGAAAAGATTGATTCAGTTCCACTACTACCCACAGAGAGAATATTGATTCTGCTGGTATTTTTAAACATCTTAAAGGGAAATAGAAAGCACCCAAGGAGGAAGAGATGCCAAATTTCAAGAAGCATTGTATCTGTTCCAATGGATCTGAAGACCAAGAACCAGCCTCAGGGCGACCACAGAACCGTACACACCCAAATCTCTCTGCAACAGCTTCTTACGGCCCCTGTACCATTTCAACTCCCTGAGTGACTAGGCTGCCCATCAAAGATGAAGATGCTAAGACACTGAATAGGAAGAACATCACTGAGCATTTTCACTCGGTCACACAAAACAACTATTACTAATCAGCGAACATTTACTATGCATCTACAGTGAGCGAAGTGCTGAGGATACAGAGAAGCATGGCAATGTCTCTGTGGTCAAGAACCTTCCAATATAATTTTGAGACTGTAGGGGAAAGCCTCGGAGAGAGAGAGTGCACTATGATGCTATATAGGTTAAATCCATGGTGCCAGCTAGGGTTCCAGGAGTTCCTGGAAGGACTTCCAGGGAATGCTTGTGGGCTGGGAAGTTCAGGAAAGGCTTCCCAGAATAAAACTTCATCTCAGGAGAGGGCAAAGGGAGGATGTTCTGGGAAGGGGATGTAGAGGGCAAGTAACCAAGGAAGGAATGTGCTTATGAGAACAGCAGTGGATCAGTTTAGCTCAAGTGCAAGTTCAGGATGAGGAGTTCTTGAGAAATGAGGCTGACTGGGACCACCTGATGGAGCACCTGGAGTATGAACTTAAGGGATTTAATTTACAGGCAGGAGAGCCACTGAACGTTTTTGAACTGGGGAATGCTGTGTGCAGGGTGGTATTTTCGGAAGATTCATCTGTCACTGGTGCATAGGATGAAATAAAGAGTCAAAGTGAGAGGCAGAGACAGTGCAGACATAAGGTGTTCCTTAGTGGTCACCACGATAATAAAAACAAGTGGATCTCCCGACCCCCCCCCCCCACCACCAAATAAAACAATAAAAGAGGGATCTACAGCCATTGGTGACTCATGAGATACGTGAGGCTGAAAGTCTGAAAGCACTACTGGACTAAAATTCAGTGATGCCCCCTGAGATTTCTGAGTGGTGAGGTCTAGATGCTACTTCGGCTTTTCCCCCTCATTCCTCATGTGGTTGCTCTGTTTTTC